GTGAAGAGAGTCTTACAAACCTCTAGGACAACCTGAAACATTCCAATATTGAAATTATAGGGGTGCCAGAAGGAGAAGAACAACAGCAAGAAACTGAAAACTTATTTGAACAAATAATGAAGGAAACTTCCCCAATCTGGCAAAGAAAATAGACTTCCAGGAATTCCAGGAATCCCAGAGAGTCCCAAAGAAGTTGGACCCAAAGAGGAACACACCAAGGCACATCATCATTAAGTTACCCAATGTTAAAGACAAAGAGAGAATCTTAAAAGCTGTAAGAGGAAAGGAAAGAGTTATCTACAAAGGAGTTCCCATAAGACTACCAGCTGATTTCTCAAAAGAAACCTTGCAGGCAAGAAGGGGCTGGAAAGAAGTATTTGAAGTCATGAAAGGCAAGGACCTACATCCAAGATTATCCAGCAAAGCTTTCATTTAAAATGGAAGGGCAGATAAAGTGCTTCCCAGAGAAGGTCAGGTTAAAGGAGTTCATCATCACCAAGCCCTTATTATATGAAATGTTAAAGGGACTTATCTAAGAAAAAAAGACAAAAAATATGAACAGTAAAATGATTAACAAACAGTAACAAACTCACAACTATCAACAAATGAACCTAAAAAAAAGACAATGAAAACAAAAACTAAGCAAACAACTAGAACAGGAACAGAATCAGAGAAATGGATATCACCTGGAGGGATTTCAGTGGGGAGGGGGAAGGGAGGAATAAGGGGGGAAGGTACAGGGAAGATGAAGCATAATTAGTAGGCATAAAATAGATGGGGAGAGATAAAAATAGTATAGGAAACAGAGAACTCAAAGAACTTATATGTACAACCCATGGACATGAACTAAGGGAAGGGGGATGCTGGAGAGGGGATAAGGGGGGAAATTGGGAAAACTGTAATAGCATAATCAATAAAAAAAGACTAAAAAAAAGAACTAGAGGACACCAGTAAGCCCAATCTCTCTCTGTTTCTCTCTGTCTCTCTCTGTCTCTTTCTCTCTCTCTCCCCATGTCCACACATGTACACCCACACAGAGAAAAGGTCATGTGAGGACACAGGGAGAAGGCACCCATCTACACACCAAGAGAGAGCTCTCATCAGGAAACAACTCTGCCAGCACCTTGGTCTTAGATGTCCAGTTGCCAAAATCATGAGAAGATAAATTTCTGTTGTTTAAGCTGCCTAGTCTATACTGCTTTGTTATGGCAGCCCTAGTAGACTGAGATATATGGCCATGTAGAAAACAAAGAAAATGAAAAAAATGTGGACAAAGAAAATCATGATAATTGTACCATAGAGACTACTGGAAATTACTCTTTTTGGGGGATATATTTTTCTCCTCTTTAAGAACAAAGCAAGAATATATTCATTTATAAATAATAAGAATCTAAAACTCCTTTGAGCATTGCTGAGGAACAATATCACCTCAGTTTTAGACTTGGTAGGGTTTAGGAATGTTGGGCTAACATGATGGAGATCTTTGTGCTGATGGAATGTTTTAGCCTTGGCTGGTGTGGCTCAGTGGAATGAGAGTCACAGTTGCTTGGAGTTTCAGTCAGGACACATGCTTGGGTTGCAGGCCCAGTCCCCAGTGTGGGGTGCAGAGAGGCAACCATACATCAATATTTCTCTCCCTCTCTTTCTCCATTCCTTCTCCTCTCTCTAAAAATAAATAAATAAAGTCTTTAAAAGTAAAGTAGAAATTATATTGTATTGTGTGTGCTATTACAGTTGTCCCAGATTTTCCTCCTTAGGCCCCCTCCACCCAGACCATCTGCCCACTCTCTCAGGCAACCATCTCACTGTTGTCCATATCCATGGGTCATGCGTATATGTGTATGTTCTTTGGCTACTCTATTCCTTATGCTCTACTTTACATCCCCATGATTATTCTGTAACTTCCAATTTGTATTTCTTAATCTCTACACCTTTATGCCCATCCCCTGATCCTCCTCCCATCTGGAAACTATCAAATTGTTCTCTGTATCTATGATTTTGTTTCTGTTATGCTTGTTTGTTTAATTTTTTTCAGTTATTGGTGGATGTGTATTTATTATCATTTTCTTGTTTATATAATTTCACATGTAGACCCTTTGTAATTTCATAATTTTATATTTCATATAATTTCATATGAAGACCCTTTAACATTTCATATAATAATGGTTTGATGATGATGAACTCCTTTAGCTTTTCCTTGTCTGGAAAGTTCTTATTTGTCTTTCAATTCTAAATGATAGGTTTGTTGGATAGAGTAATCTTGGTTGTAGGTCCTTGCTTTTCATCACTTTGAGTATTTCTTGCCAATCCCATCTAGCCTTCAAAATTTCTTTTGAGAAATCAGCTGTGGATCATATGGGAACTCCCTTGTAGGTGATTAATTGCTCTTCTCTTGTTGCTTTTATGGTTCTCCCTTTGTCTTTAAACTTTGGCATTATAATTACAATGTGGCTTGGTGTAGGCCTTTTTGGGTCCATCTTATTTGGGACTCTCCTACCTTCTTGGACTTTTATGTCTATTTCTTTCACCAAGTTAGGGAAATTTTCTGTCATTTTTTCAAATAGTTCTCCAAATTCTTGCTCTCTCTTCTCCTTCTGGCATCCCCATGATATGAATGTTGGTATAATTGAAGTTGTCTCAGAAGCTCCTTAAACATTGTGATTTTTGGGGTTCTTTTTCCTTCTTATTGCTCTGATTGGGTATTTTTTGCTTCCTTATATTCTAAATCTCTGATTTGATTCTGGACCCCACCCACTCTACTGTTGATTCCCCATAAATTGTTCTTCATTTCAGGTAGTATATCCTTATTTATGACTGGATCTTTTTTATGGTTTCCATGCTGTTTTTTAATGCAATTTGAGGTCCTTACTAACATCACTGAGCATCCTCATAAACAGTGTTTTGAACTCTGCATCTAGCAGACCACTTGTCTCCATTTTGTTTAGTTCTTCTTCTGGAGTTTTGTTCCGTTCCTTCATCTGGGCCATGATTCTTTGTCTTCTCATTTTGGCAGTTTCTCTGTGTTTGTTTCCACATATTGTGCAGAGCTGCTACAACTCCCTGGCTAGCAGAGTGACCTATTGTAGTAAATGTCCTGTAGGGTCCAGTGGCACAGCCTCCCTTATTATCCAATCTGGGCACTGGAGGTGTACCCACCAAGTGGGTTGTGTACACTCCTTTCCTGCAGCTGAGCCTTGATTGCTGTTGTCTGGCCAATGGGAGGGCTTTACACAGGCTGATCAACTGCAAGGACTGGCAGTGACAATTGACCACCAACCTTGGACCACCATGGAGAGTCAGCTTTGCAGGGACCTAATACACAGAGTAGGACTTACTTCAGCAAAGTTCTGGTTCATGCTGAGTCTACCCCTTGAGTGTGTTATTTTGGAGGTGGTTTGTTGATGGTGTTCTGATGTGGTTTGTAGCTGTCTGCTGGGTGCACAGGTTCTGGGGCCTCCTGGGAGGTGCAGGCCAAGATAAGCCAACCACTGTGTTCTGTCCAGGGCCACCCAAATAAGCCACAACACAATTTACTGTTGGTTGCTACTTCTGCTTGTCAGGGAGGTGCCCAAGTGAGTCCAAGCTGTAAACAAGGCTAGATGCTGCTTGTGCCATCCTTGTGGCCACTTAACAATAGGCACAGGCCATGCAGAGGTCAGATGCTATTTGTTTGAGAAAAATTTGGAGGATCTCAAGCATGAACAAAGACAAGCCATTTTTATGGAAAAATCCCTGGAGACAGACTGGGTGGGCCTAAAAGTTGGGTGGGTCACATAGCCTTAGGGAATCACCAAGGCAGTGGGGGGTGGCTGGGAAACTGTGAGTCAGGTTGATGGAGTCTCAGATATGGTGTCTACCTGGCTGCTCTTGGTTTTGTGAGGGGAGTGCTCAGAAAAGGAACAATGGCCTCTGCCAGCACTTTGGGAGAACGCTGCCTCCCAGTTCTTGCCCTGGTGCTGGACAATTCAGTTTCTCCCCATTGTCTCTGATGGCTTTCAAGCTGCTGCTTCTGTGCTGGAGCTCAGAGGGAGTGATTTGGAGTAAGTCTGTATGCAGGCACTTTAAGAGGAACTACCTGAGACTCTAGCAGTTTGTCAATCTCCACTGGTTTTTACAGTAAGAAGTTAACACTTATCTTCCTGGCACTGGAACCCTGGGATGGGACCTCTCACTCCTGTGATATCTCTTCCAGTTTTCACTTGCCACATATAAGTGTGGTACTAGCATGTTCCACATCTCCACACTCTGCTCAAGTCTAGATGTAGTTTCTTCTTTAATTCTGTAGTTCTAGGACTTCCATTCAGCTTGATTTATGATGGTTCTGAATGATGATTTTTTGGTAGTTCAGTTGTAATTTTGATGTGGTTGTGCAAGAAGGTGTGCTGTGTTTACCTAGGCCTGCATCTTGAACCTCCTGATGTAATGTTCATGCATTTTGGTGGCAGTAACAGCTGCAGGAATCTACACATAATATGCCATGGACTGAACATACATTGTAACAATGTCAGTTATTTGGTTTAGATATTAGGCTATCATTACACTGAAATGCAACCCTTTCAGAAAACTGGGTGAAGGGTACACAGGACTTCTTGGTATTGTTTTTGCAACTTTCTGTGAATCTATATTTATGTCAAAGTAAAAACTTAAAAGTAAAGAAGTTTGCTAATAGATAATAGGTATCTGTCTATTCTGAACCAAGGTCCTTGTAGAAACAAAAAGACTAGTAGAGTGATTCTTCATGGTTGGACATTCTTTCTACATCAGAAAGATGTAACAACCACCCTCAAGGAGGTTTCCATAAGAATATGAGTAATGCCATGCAAATAGTTAAGAAATAGAATTGTGAGTTTCAAAGAAGTTAGTCAGTGGACAAAAGGGGAAGAAATCATCTAGATTAGCTGTTTCCTAAATCAGATAATCTAAGACACGAGTCACACTTAAAACAGGAAGTCTTTTTAACATGCAGAGAACAAGGTCATTGGCACTCTGTGGCTGGGCTTGCTGGTGTCTGCACCATGAGGAATGGATGTATAAGGTTGCCTCCAGGTAGGTAGAATTATAACAATGGAAATGAACGACTATCTGGGAACTCTAAAGCTATCTTGGAACTCTATTTCCAGTTTGAGAATTTTCTCTGTTCTTTGATTTATTTCTAGTTTTCCTACTACCTCTGTAAAGGAAAACAGGGGAAAAATGTTAAGAAGGATATTAACTCAATTATATTAAATGTTGAAAGGGAAAGTCAGTGAAACTAATTCCTAGGACAAACTTGGGACCTTAACACAGTTTGCTCATTTTACCACTAGATTCACTAGAGAAACAGAATATATAGCAGGTCCTGGAATAACATCATTTTGTTCAATATCATTTCATTATAACATTGATGAGATACTCTAGGAACCTAATTCTTGTTTAGAGTGATTAGCCTGTGGTCTTGTTGTATGTCATTTTGCCACAGTTACAAGAACCTATCACTAACATTAAATAAGAACTTACTGTACATATTATATTGAGAAATGAGCTTATGAAATAATGGAGATTGGGAAATGCAAACTATGCAGGGAAGGCTGGCAGGCTGGAAACCCAGGGAAGACTTCATGTTGCATCTCAAGTTCCAAGGCAGTTTGGAGGTAGAATTCCCTATTTTTTTTTGGAGGAGGAGGTCAGTCCTTTTTTTCTCTTAAGGTCTTCAACTGATTGGATGAGGCCCACCCAGATTGCGGAGGGTTATCTGCTTTACTCAAAGTCTACTGATTTAAATGTCAATCTCATGTACACCTTCACAACACCATCTAGACTAAGATTTGACCAAACATCTGGGCATTGTGAGCTAGCCAAGCTGACATATAAAATTGACTGTAACATAACTTAATTTATTTTTTCAGAAGTGTACATACCCAAACTTTCTGAAAAACTCTAATTTGCTAAAGAAAACATTGTCATTAAGCCTATGTAATTTGTGTATGTCATGGGATGATTTGAAGGGTAATAACAGTGATAGAGTAAAAATGATATTTTCCAGGTCATCTTAATTTTGATTAACATTTCAATGAAAATATCCATATTTCTTATGTGATTTGTGGAACATGACTTTTTTTTTTAAGCTGGGGACATTTTGGAGGGTTCATTGTACCAAATGCAGTGGGTATTTATTTATTTTATTTTTAAATTTTAATCATTATTCAAATAGTTGTCTCCTTTTTACTCCAAATCCAGTCCCCCTGCCACCCTCCCCACTTCCCCACCCTCCCCACCTCCCCACTTCCCTCCCATTACCACCCTCCCCTTAGTTTATGACCGTGTGTCCTTTAAGTTTGTTCCTGTGAACCCATCCCACTGTGCCCTGAAATTCCCTCTTCTATCCCCTCTGGTCACCATCAGCCTGTCCTCTATTTCAGTGTCTTTGGTTATATTTTGCTTGTTTCTTTGTTTTGTTATTTAGATTCCTGTTAAAGGTGAGATCATATGGTATTTGTCTTTCACTGCCTGGCTTGTTTCACTTAGCATAATGTTTTCAGCTCCATCCAAGCTGTTGCAAAGGGTAGGAGCTCCTTCTTTCTTTCTGCTGCATAGAATTCCATTGTGTAAATGTACCATAGTTTTTTGATCCATTCATTTACTGATGGCCATCTTGGTTGCGTCCAGCATCTAGCTATTGTAAATTGTGCTGCTATGAACATTGGGATGCATAGGCTCTTTTGAATTGGTGTTTTAGTATTCTTAGGATAGAGTCCCAGCAGTGGCATTGCAGGGTCAAAAGGCAGATCCGTTTTTAGTTTTCTGAGGAAGTTCCATACTGCTTTCCATAGTGGTTGTACCAGTCTGCAGTCCCACCAGCAGTGCACTAGGGTCCCCTTTTCTCCACAACCTCTCCAACACTTGTTGTTTGTTGCTTTGTTTATGATGGCCATTCTGTCTGGTGTGAAGTGGTATCTCATTGTGGTTTTAATTAGCATCTCCCTGATAGCTAGCTATATTGAACATCGTTTCATGTGTCTTTGGATTTTCTGTATGTCCTCCTTGGAGAAGTGTCTGTTCAAGTCCTTTGCCCACTTTTTAATTGGATTCCTTGTCTTAGAGTGCAGTTGTGTAAGTTCTCTATATATTTTGGAGATTAAACCCTTGTCTGAGGTGTCATTGGCAAATATGTTTTCCCATACAGTTGGTTCTCCTTTAATTTTGATACTGTTTTCTTTAGCTGTGCAGAAGCTTTTAATTTTGATGAGGTCCCATTTGTTTATTCTTTCCTTTATGTCCGTTGCTCTAGGGGACACGTCAGTAAAAACATTTCTTCATGAAATATCTGAGATTTTCCTACCTACGTTCTCCTCTAGGACTTTAATGGTGTCATGTTTTATATTTAAGTCTTTTATCCACCTTGAATTTATTTTTGTATGTGGTGTAAGTTGGTGCTCAAGTTTCATTTTTTTTGCACGTGGCTGTCCAGTTCTCCCAACACCATTTGTTGAAGAGGCTATTTTTACTCCATTTTATGTTGCTGCTTCCTTTGTCAAATATTAATTGACCATAGAGACTAGGGCTTATTTCTGGGCTCTCTGTTCTGTTCCATTGCTCTATGTGCCTGTTTTTATGCCAGTACCAGGCTGTTTTGATTACAGTAGCCTTGTAATATAGTTTAGTGTCGGGTATTGTGATCCCTCCTACTTTACTCTTCTTTCTCAAAATTGCAGCAGCTCTTCGGGGTCGTTTATGATTCCACATAAATTTTTGAAGTGTTTGTTCTATGTCTGTGAAATATGCCATTGGTACTTTAATAGGAATTGTATTGAATGTGTAAATTGCTTTGGGTAATATGGACATTTTGATGATATTAATTCTTCCAATCCATGAACACCGTATATGTTTCCATTTGTTTGTGTCTTCCTTGATTTCTTTCTTCAGTGTTGTGTAGTTTGCTGAATACAGGTTTTTTTATCTCTTTGGTTAGGTTTATTCCTAGATATTTTATTTTTTCTTTTTTGCTATTTCAAATGGGATTTTTTTCCTTGATCTCTGTTTCTGCTGTTTTATTGTTGGTGTACAGAATTGCCTTTGATTTCTGGATATTGACTTTGTATCCCGCTGTTTTGCCAAATTCATTTATTAGGTCAAGCAGCTTTTTCGTAGAGTCTATAGGATTTTCTATGTATACTATCATGTCATCTGCAAACAGTGACAGTTTTGTTTCCTCCTTTCCGATTTGAATGCCTTTTATTTCTTTTTCTTGTCTGATCGCTGTGGCTAAAACTTCCAGTACTATATTGAATAGAAATGGTGAAAGCGGACAGCCTTGTTTTGTTCCTGATCTTAGTGGAAAAGATTTTAATTTTTGGCCATTGAGAATGATGTTGGCTGAAGGTCTCTCATATATGGCCTTTATTATGTTGAGGAATGCTCCCTCTATTCCCACTTTGCCGAGTGTTTTTATCATGAGTGGGTGCTGTACCTTATCAAATGCTTTTTCTGCATCTATTGATATGATCATTTGGTTTTTGTCTTTGCTTTTGTTTATGTGATGTATTACATTTACTGACTTGCAAATATTGAACCATCCTTGCATCCCTGGAATGAATCCCACTTGGTCATGATGTATGATCTTTTTAATGTATTGTTGGATGCGGTTTGCCAGCATCTAGTTGAGGATTTTAGCGTCAATGTTCATCAGTGATATTGGCCTGAAGTTTTCTTTCTTTGTTGTGTCTTTATTTGGTTTTGGAATTAGGATGATGTTGGCCTCATAAAAAGAGTTTGGGAGACTCCCATCTTTTTGGATTTTTTGGAATAGTCTGTGAAGGATAGGGGTTAGCTCTTCCTTAAATGCTTTGTAGAATTCTCCTGTGAAACCATCTGGTCCCGGGCTTTTGTGTGTTGGGAGTTTTTTGATTACTGCTTCACTTTATTTTGTTGTTATTGGTCTGTTCAGGCTTTCTGCTTCTTCTTCACTGAGTTTTGGAAGATTATATTTTTCTGGAAAGTTGTCCATTTCACCTAGGTTTTCACATTTCTTGGCATACAGCTCTTTGTAGTAATTTCTTACAATCCTTTGTATTTCTGTGGTATCTGTTGTAATGTCTCCTCTTTCATTTCTGATTGTGTTTATTTGGGTCTTCTCTCTTTTTTTCTTGATGAGTCTGCTTAAAGGCTTGTCGATTTTATCTTTTCAAAGAACCAGCTCTTGGATTCATTGATCCTTAGCATTGTGCTTTTAGTCTCTAGGTCATTTAATTCTGCTCTGATCTTGGTTATTTCCTTCCTTCTGCTTGCTCTGGGCCGCCTTTGTTGTTGTTCCTCAAGTTCTTGTAGACATAGGGTTAGGTTGTTTGTTTGGAATGTTTGTAACCTTTTTAGGTGGGCCTGTATCGCTATGAACTTCCCTCTCAGGACTGCATTGGCTGTGTCCCATAAGTTTTGGGTTGTTGTTAGTTCTTTTTCATTCATTTCCAGAAACCTTTTGATTTCTTCCCTAATATCATTCTTGACCCATTCATTGTTTAATAGCATGCTATTTAATGTCCATGATTTTGAGTGTTTTTTGTTTTTTTTTCCTTGGGGTTGGTTTCTAGCTTCAGTCCCTTGTGGTCTGAGAAAATGCTTGGTATGATTTCAATTTTCTTGAAATTCTTGAGGCTTTTTTTGTGTCCTATCATGTGGTCTATCTTTGAGAATGTTCCCGTGTACATTTGAAAAGAATGTATATTTAGCTTCTTTTGGATGGAGGGCTCTGTATATATCAGTAAAGTCCATTTCATCAAGGGTATTGTTCAATGCCACAATATCTTTGTTGATATTTTGTTTAGAAGATCTGTCCATTTTTGATAGTGGGGTGTTAAAATCTCCCACTATAATTGTGTTGCTGTCCATGTCTTTCTTGAAGTCCTCTAAGATTTTCTTTATGTATTTGGGTGCTCCTATGTTGGGTGCATATATATTTACAATATTTATGTCTTCTTGATGGATTCTTCCCTTGAGTATTATGAAGTGACCTTCTGGGTCTCTCTTTATGGACCTTTCTCGGAAGTCTCTTTTGTCTGATATGAATATTGCTA